GCTCCACACCCTGGCAGGAACACCCTTGGCCGAGGGGGGGACCTGCAGGGCCCACCAGCCCGGTGGGTGTCACCGCAGCAGCCAGAGACCTCAGGCTCAGGCCGGAGGACCACAGGGAGGGCCATCTCCCTTGACGGGGCAATGGGAGGGGCAAGGCCAACGACCTGGTGCCACGAAGAGCCTGGGGCTCACTCCTGGGCGGGCGACACACCACTCCTTCGTTCCCCTAAAGTGGGGGTGCCATACTGAGCTGCCAGCCTGTGGGCACTGGCCAGAGGGAGCCTTTCCCAGTGGGGTCTCAGGCCACGCAGCCTGGGGAGGGCTTTGCCCAGCTCACGGGGGGAGGGGGAGGAGATCTGAGCGTCTCCCTTTCTCAGTGGCCCCCCTGCTGCACAGCCAGGGCCCAGCCACGCTGCTGGGAGGTCAGCTGGCTACTTGGCAGGGCACCGGGTGCCAGGCATGACCCTGCATATCTCACATGCCATGGCTTGTGGTCAACAGAAGCCCGGCCCACCTTCCTGGCCTGTTTGTGGGGACAGGCCTGGTCTGAGGCCCCCCTGCCCTGACTGCCCTTTGACAGGGGTGAATCCACTAGCTTTCCAGGTGTGTCCGCCCAGGGTCCTGGTCTCTACTGATGGGTGTGGCCAGGGGGTCATTAGTCAGTGACACTGGTTGGCATCGGCTAGGGCAGTGGTTCTCAACCTTCTGGCCCTTTAAATACAGCTCCTCATGTTGTGACCCAACCATAAAATTATTGTCGTTGCTACTTCATAACTGTCATGTTGCTACTGCTATGAATCGTTATGTAATATCTGAGATGCAGGATGGTCTTAGGCGACCCCTGTGAAAGGGTCGTTCGACCGCCAAAGGGGTCGCGGCCCACAGGTTGAGAACCGCTGGGCTAGGGCATCACTCCTCTGGTTTAGCTGCTTCTCTGGGCCTGGTGTCTGCAGGGCTGAGGAGCCAGCTGCAGACCCCTCCCCCGGGGACGCTCGGGGTGATGCCCCATGGGCCGCCTGTCCCAACGGCCGACCCACAGAGGAAGCTGCTGCAGGGAACACTGTGATCCCGCAGCGTGCCACGACTTCCTGCCTGCTGTGTGCAGTGCAGGCCAAGAGCTCATGCCCACCAGCGAGAGGAGTGGCAAGGCATTGCCCCCAACACCCTCGCGCTGGGGGACCAAGGAGGGTAAGAAGTTTATTGAGAAAAAAACCAAACTAACAAAAAACAGTCCGACTGGTGTGGCTCAGTGGTTGAGCATCCACCTATGAACCAGGAGGTCAGGGTTCGATTATTGGTCGAGGCACAGGCCTGGGTTGTGGGCTGGATCCTCAGTGGGGGGCATGAAGGAGGCAGCAGATCCATGATTCATCAGTGATGTTCCTCTCTCCCTTCTTCTCTGAAATCAACAAAAATATATTAAAAAAAACAAAAACAAAACAGCCCTAGCTGGTTTGGCTCAGTGGATAGAGCATCAGCCTGCAGACTGAAGGGTCCCGGGTTCGGATCCCGGTCAAGGGCACATGCCTGGGTTGTGGGCTCAGTAGGAATGCAGGAGGCAGATCAATGATTCTGTCATCATTGTTTCCCTCTCTCCTCTCCCTTCCTCTCTGAAATCAATAAAGATATTAAAAAACAAAAACCCAGAATCCAGAGAGGCCCGGTGGCCACCCCCAGGAAAACCGTGCAGGGCCCATCTAAGGTGTGATCTGTCCTTTTTCTTCTGTAAATGTTAAGTACGACAAGCCTAGTGCTGTCAAGGCGACACAGTGAAGGTGCAACCACGTGTTCAACGTTTTTCCTTCCTAAGTTTTGCTCCCCCCCTCCCCCCAACATAAGCAGATAAAGGTAAAGGCATTTGTCGGCGGGGCCCGCCAAACCTTGGTTGTGTGGGTGTCAAAATGGCACCAGAATGTCGCCGGTGATTGGAGTCGGGTCAGACCTTGACTCAGCAACCTCCGTACTTGAGTTCTGGCTAAGAAAGAACTCAGACGCCAGACTCAACCTACAGGAGAAAGTTTATTTGCAAAGTCACAGAGGCAGCCGTGAGCCGTGGAGGAAATGGGCTTAGGAAGCGGGTTAGAGGCCAAAGGGCCCTGGCGCCCAGGAGGAAGGAGGGTGAAGGTGGGCGGGCAGAGGGAGCAGGTTGAGAGCAGGCGGAGCCCTCGGCAAGGGGCTTGTTCTAAGGCTGGGGACTCGAGGGGGCCCGATGGGTCCTGTAGGAGATGCATCGGCTCTCAGGTGCGTCCCCCATCACTGGAGCGGCCAGGGGGTCATTAGTCAATGCAGCTGGTTCTGGTTTTGCTGCTTTTCTGGGCCGGGAGCTGAAGCCCAACTGGGGCCTGGATGCGTTTGATCCGAGTCAGCACCGCAGCGTCCTGGGGGCTTCCGGCCTACGGGATATCCCCGCTGGTTCCCCCATTGGCGGGGCCTCAACCGCAGGGCAGGCAACGAGCCAGGGGAGGGGGAGGTCCGGACCGGGCCTGCACAGCCGGACCGCGCTCAG